ATTTTATTAAGATAGGACCTAAGCGTAGCGATTTATTTTTTGATTGCATGATTTTTCGTTTGTGAAGTTAAAATAAAACCCTACTTTATGTGTGTAGGAGAACAAACCGTAACTGACTGCGGATATTATGTTGTGTTTTTTGTGGCTGAATCTTATAAGACATCTTTTATGACGATGGGGTAAGTGTTTGTAAGTTATGTGTTTTTTTACATTATGGCACAAGTATGACAAGTACCAATAAAATAAAACACACCAATTTTAAAACTTTAATTAAACTTGTTGATGACCTTCTAAAGAACGCTTAAAACTAAAAAAATAATCAAAAAATATAATGGAAAAACTATACTTACCTACCTACCAACTTAATGGCCATGTGAGATTACTTACCTACGTCCTTATGCTTGCCAAATCTTATTTTTTATCACCTGGCTTGTCTGTGAACTTGACAGTCAACTGCAGCTGTTGAAGGTTCGATGCCTTTTTTTTTTCAAAAATGTAACAGACTGTATCTCTTATCGGCAGTTTCCAGGTTTTCTACTATTAGAATAGTTATAGTGCAACTTGTTTTTTAAATAGATAAAATCCTAAAGCATGCCGTAAAATCACCGACCGCACAAATAAAATTATTTCAGCATCTAGTTCCTACAGAACCTACTTTAGTGTAGTTTAGTCTACATTACTCTAGTTAAACAGCTTTTTAACTGTTTTTCAGGACAAGTCGACAAGAATTACCAGGCCTACACGGACGCCCAGATCGAACAGGTCATGGAACATGCTCTGACTCACACCGATCTGAACAAGGATGGGTACATTGACTACTTGGAGTATAGGATCAATCATTATAAGGCTAAAAAGGCACAAGCTGACGCCGTGGAAAGCATGGCTCGTTGAGGATTTAAAAGGCATAAAATGTATAAAAGTCATAGTCTAGTAAAAGGCATAAAACGTATAAAATACAAAATTAAATAAACGTCCTAAAAGTCGTAAAAATACACAAAAGTATTTTTGCACGTCCCCATATTTTTTTTTAAATTCGGAGATTTATTTCTTTTTATAGTTAGCTTGATTTTCTATGACTAATCTAGGTGTGGTACTTCATGTGTTTTTTAGTTGAAATAATAAACTTTTTCTAAATTAGGCACAGTTATTATTTTTCTCAACATTTACAGGTTTTTCAGCGAAACAAGGTAAATACATAGTACATAATTATTTTGATATCCTACAATTTCTTCTTGCTTCAAAAATATTAGTGTTTTTCTTTTCCAGAGAAAATGTGAGTCAAATTATTTGAAATCAGAAAAGCAACAAATTAATAAGTTTTTAATTAAAGTTACAACAACTAAATTGTTAGATTAGTTTCAAAAATTGGTTTTAGTTACTTTGTATTGTTTTTTCCTTTCTTTCTTCACAGAAGCCTTTTGAAAATCTTCAACTAGGGCTGGGTTGCAGATCTTACTTTAACTTTGACAAACGTCATAAATCTGTCAATCTCTATACAAAAAACACCGGTTATCTATAAGTAATAAGGATAATCAAAGTTAGGTGGTGCAACTCAGCCTTAGTAGATATTTTAGTTTTTTAACAAACTTATTTATTTTCACAGATGAAGACGGAGTGAAAAGGGAGGTAGACGTCAAATACACTGACAGGTCCTTGGAGGAGATCGTGGAGGGCTCCCTGGCGCAGGTAGACACCAACAACGACGGGTACATCGATTACGCTGAGTTTAGAGCTGTCACTATGGGATAAATAAATAAATAAAGATACTTACTATAGTCTGGTCCGTGAGCACGTAGAATTTTGTCCAACGACCCCTAGCTACCCATCCTTATCGCTCGCGCGTAATTATGTTGCTATTGCGCTCGCACACTCACTGCGGGTGCCAGTCGCACAGTCACGACAGCAATATAATTACGCGCGAGCGATAAGGATGGGTCATGAAGCTACAGATAAAAATGGAGGGCAAAGTTGGGAACAAAACTTGAGTCAAATACCTACTTATATCTATCTCGCTCTCTGTGGCCCTACCTCTCTTTTTAGTGTGAACTGTAGTATTGCTATCTTCTTATTTAAATCTCCTTGTAAATTCTTCGAAATAGCCAATTCACTAACCAAATAAGAAGTTAAATAAATAAATAATTAATATTTGAAACTTAGATTACCTAGTTAAATAAAAAATCACAAAATTGTCGGCCATTTAGGCTTAATGTGTTGGCGAATCAGGGAATTACAATCCCAATTTCTGAGGTATCGGTAATGTGGCAACATCGGCCGAATCCGGCCCATCATGGCGGTTGTTTACTATGCAGTTGATTTCGTTTGAGATTTTTCAAGGGACCTTATCATTGTTTTGTCTGAAGAAATGGTGCAAAATTGTATAGTGCGTGGTTGCGGTAGTTCGTGTTGTCCTGGAAGTGATATAAAATTCCACGCGTAAGTGTTTATTTCGTGATTTCTGACAGTGGATCATTGTTAACATATTTCTTTGTATTTGAGAAAGGCAGAAGACGTAATTTTGCAGTTTGGGGAGGACGCCATGTTCTACCTTAACCTATTGAAAAAATTCGATGATTTTTCGCACCCAAACGAAATGTAATCTATGAGAGATTCAAATTCAACGCCAGGGTGCAGCTACAAGGCGAAAGGGTCGACGAATTTGTCACTGAAATACACCGACTTGCCGAGCACTGTGAATACGGCGTTCTGAAGACTGATCTTATCAGAGATAGATTGTCGTTGGTATTGCAGATAAAAGTCTAAGCGACAGGATGCTACTCAAACCAGATCTTACATTAGAAGAAGCCGTACAAATGGGAAGACTATCTGAAATACAGCAGGAAGAATAATATTATTCCATAACACTCAGTGTTGCCACTTCAGAAAAAGGGGAGGTTCCAATTAATTTGTTTATGCAAAGCTTGGCACAGATGTCGCTGTGTACTTCAGAGCCATAATAAAAAAGACGCATAAAAGTTATCAATAAACTTTTAGCATTGTTCGAGTTTTACTCGTCGTTTTACATTTATTTTATAGTCTAGTAGTAAACAAATACTACTAAAGGATTTTTGAAAGTTTTTATGCGACAGGACGATACCTAATATGTTATGATCATTAGTGACTGGTGAAATCTTAGTTTTGAATAACAATTGAACTTTAAGTGCCACGTGATTACTGTAGGTAAATAAGTATTTAGTTTTTATAATATAATGTATAGAACATGGAATGTAGAGGTCTTAAAAGCTAAATTAAGAGAACGGGGTGCATCTTTGAAGGGCAGAAAAGCAGACCTAATTGAAAGGTAAACATCACCTCAATGTCATGTTATAAATTTTATTCATCGTATAATATTAGCCTAGACGTCTTAATGTTCTAGGTGACATCAAAATGTAATGTACTTCGCGGCTTTAATAAGTGAATGTTTATTTTACATACTTGAGGCATATGACAGGAATCAGAATTTTGATGCTGTTCAAGCGGAAGAAAATGATGATCCAAAAATGGTTTTACCAGAAAATGATGCTTATCGGGACATCAACAGCAGTATGAAGCTACCACCAATTACAAAGGAACATAACCCTTTATTTCTTACAGTAAGTTCATTCTTTTAAGTACAGTTCTTACTAATTCTGATACAAAAACCTAAATCATTTAACAATGATATGTACCTAAATAAATACATTTTTTTTACATTCAGATATCATAGAACCCAAATGATGGTAAATCATGGAANGGTTGTGCTTCAAGTAGGTATTCTAAGTCTGGCCTCCATTTTTATCTTTAGCTTCATGGGATGGGTGTTGTCCAGCTGTCGAAAAGTTGTTGATATTTTATGTGAGCAATATATCAGTCGTACACAACTTTTCACTTGTCTCTACTTAAGTAGATCCTAACATAAACCTGCATTTATGATTTTTTTATAAAAGTTTACATTTTTATAAAATTTAAATCATTATTTATAAAAGTTTACATTATTTAAATCATTATTGTAAATTATTGTGATTGTTTTTTTAAAGACTCAATAAACCTTTTATTTATAATAATTAGGCATTATTATTTTACCCAAATAAGTAGGTAGGTATACAAGTTGGTACCTATGAATGAATTTTTGAAATAGTAACGTAGGTACTTACCTACCTCCACGCTCCACGTATCTGTAATTCTTATGGACGTAGCACATTAATATCAACCCGGAAAGGGATCGTAACCGTATCAACTCGAGGCGGTTAGTATTCTTTGTATGAAACTTCATACTGCAACGCACACTTATCCGCACCGTAATGTAAACGCCTCAACACGCGGTTGACAGCGCACGTAATCACGTAAGGCGATGACAGCTCGCGAAAGGCGACGGTGTTGATCCCTTTCTGAGTCGATAAGTCTGCTATGACCTTTAGGCAGCTTACCATAAGACGTGTGTTCGTTAATTTCAGCCAAATGACGTGCACTGCTGGTTAAAGGCCTTTTTTCAAGATTTCTACAACGATCAGTCATGCGTTGCCGGCATTCAGAGAGCTTAGTGTGAGTTTTACATCAAACGTCCTCACAAAAATATTAGTCATTGAAAGAGTCCGCTAGGGGCGCTGTACAATCCATCATACATTTAATGCAATTTTTACGCGCTCACTAGCGACGACGTTAGATGTAAACTCACACTAAGCCTACAGGTGCTTCCTGCGACCTTTCCTGGATCCTTTCGCTTTAAGTTTGCCGCTGGCAATATGACGTCACTCGAAATGAAGCGTCTTTAACTATAACAAACTATATTTAAAATATTTTTTATTTATTATTATTGATGATAAATGTGTACTTGCATAAAATAAGACACATTAATTGCGTTTAATCACTAACTAATTGCGTTTAATCGCAGTTGGGAGAGGGGACGCGCATTCCACGGACCGGCAAACTTAGCGCGAACGGGTAGTAGTCTCTTCCACACTTTCTTGTATGAAATACTAAATAATTATTTAATATTTTCTCTCCTTGTATGACTGTTTCCACAGACGATAAAGGCGTCAAAAGGGAGCTAAATATCAATTACCAAGACAAAGATCTGGAGGAGATCGTGGAAGGCGCGCTGAAGCAGGCAGACACCAACAGAGATGGTTATATCGATTATACAGAGTATAGATCAGTCAATGTATAGCTTAAATTATGGTAAAACTAGCGAAAAACCCCTGCTTCGCGCAGGTACAATGTGTTATACTTAAAAACCTTCCTCTTGAATCGTTCTTGAATGAAATGTTGCGTAGTTTTAAAGATTTAAACATACATAGGGACAGCGAAGCGACTTTATAATAATTATTATTGATTTAATATGTAGTGATAAGAAAATACGACCTTCAAGGCTTTAAAAATATTAGGGTCAAGTCACCAGTTGGCGTCCACCTGTCTATTCGCGTCCAAACGGATCACACTTTACACTTTATTGTACACCAAAAATAAAAGAAAAAGAAAGTATACAAAAGATACGACATTCAGTTTTATTAGTGTGTCGAATGGTTCTTTTCCACTGTTTTAATTAAAGTCTTACTTCCAAATAGTAATGACCAAATTATTAACTTAAATAAAAGTTATTTTATGTTCTGGTTTAGCTTATAATTTGGTCTACCTAGTCATTTGTGTTATAAATGAAATAAAACTTATTATATTTATTAAAACTGTTTTATTTCTCTCCTACAAAATTTTATCCACTAGTTCTTAAAAATATCTAACTAAAACTCCGATATTAATGTGGAAATTGGGTTTCTACTTAAAATCTAGGTCATAAGCTTAGAACTACTTTAAAAATACTTAAATTAAGTTTTTGCAACGTTTGATGTCTTTCATTTGTGTTTTTCATTCTTTTATTTTATTAATAAAAATATTTAAGTACAAGTTCAATAAGATAAATTATAAAATACATAACACCTATAAATGATATTCATAAAAATATACAAATATTAAAAAAAAGATAATCATTTAGTTTAAAATGAGCCATTTGTGTAAACTTTGGTCAACTGACAGCAGATTTTAAAAGACAATAATGTTTTTTTGATCAATTTCGTTACGGGTTTAATGACAGTTTAATTTTCCCCCGGGACAAACTTGACCTTCACTGGTTGGGTTATTGGCGGTCAAGCTGTAGATCCTGGCTACACAGGAGTTGCAGCGGTGGGAACGAGAAGTGGGAATAAGTAGTCCCGTAATAATTACATTTAGGTAAACAGTGAAAATTGCCTTAACCCTTCATTTGGCAAGACATAAACTGTTTGATTTTTTCAATAAAATCTATTTAAACCTAATTGTTACTATCAAATAAAGTTAAGAAAAATAATAAAAAAAATATTTGGTTGGTATTTTCGCGAAAAACGACTGTTGCTTATAGACCACATTGCCAAATAGGGGTACTTAAATAAAATATTGAGATATATTATAGAATTAATTTGTTAATATGAAAATCATAAAAAANTAAATGGTATGGTGAAGTCAGAAAATTGATATCTTCATTTTAATTATTTTAATTTTCATACAAATCTGATTTTTTTAAAAATATTTTGTATGAAAATTAAAAAAATTAAAATGATGGTATCAAATTTCTGACTTCACCATACCATTTATATGCCCATGTTAACATGGGCTAGTGTCGGCTCATATACCCATTTACCTAACACCCTGTATAAAAAAAAGAATGAATATTCAAGAATATACCCAAAAAGTGAGGAATATTATTCTTAACTGCAAATCCCAAATGCCATATTATATGCCATATGAAAGAAACCAGTAAAAATGGTTATGCCATGCAAATACTAGAAATAGAAAATATTTTATCAAGAGCTATTATGCATGGTATAATTAATGAAAAAGTTGCATTAAAACAGTATATTGATTTATACAAGTTAGATGTGACAGAAAGTGGAGTGCATATTTCAGAAGAAAGGCCCTATTTGGCTGCTTCGCCTGATGGTATTTTAATTAAAGAAACATTAATTGAAATAAAGTGTCCTTATGCACAGTGGACACAGTGCTGAGCGGAATCAGCGGATGATTTAGTTTCAACGGGACACAANCACCCTGTATAGTCTGCTTCAAGGCCACATTTACAGATTATCAAAAAACAAGATGGCGGCTGAGCCGTCGGCCATTTTGTTGCGATCAAAAAAATCACAAACTTTGGTAGCAATTTTCTGGCAGATGGCGACACCGGAATGGGGTACAATGTTCCGGGCGATTGTTGGTTTGTTATTCGAGTGTTTCCATGAATCGGAAAAAACTACCATTTTGGAAGAAAATTTTCCACCACGGCCCCGGATAGTAGAAAATGGAAATTTCCAAAAATTCCATAAACTTGGAATGCAGTCTGGTGACGTTTGGGGACCCAAATGACATTTCACCATTTTTATGAAAAAAGACTGGCAACCGAAGGAGGACCGAAACTGGAGACCGAAGGCCGAACGATAGTTCAAAGCCCGAAAATCGCCATTAATTTTAATATTTAAGACAGGACTGCAGCCCAGTGTTAAGTAGAGAAGGAGAAAAACACAAAAATATATTATGTACTTACTTATCCAGAGACGAAAAACCGTTCAAGTGAAAATCGGATTCGTGCACCGAGAGTTACGTAGTAACTTGTAAATATTGTCTACTAACAACTGCAAATAAGTTTGTAGGTAATCACTCTTTTTTAGGGTTCGTAGTCCTGACAAGGAACCCTTATTTCGAATGGAAAATGTTCACATGAAATTAAATTTTATGCCTATTGTAATGAAAAATGAAATCGATTTCTTAAAAAATTATAGGAGGTATTGCTACTTCACCGTTGGTATGTATTTATTTCACGTCGGCAAAGTAATAAAATAAAATTTTGAAAAATATTTCTTTTGTGTAGTTTCCCTATGTAAAGTGGGGATTTTTTTTTAAATCTTCTACCCCATCTGTAGGGTATCGTTGTATATAAGTCTTTTATAATGGCTTGGGAGTTTCTAAGACTATTTTTTTATTTAAACGGATTCAGTTTGCAAAATATTAAAGTAGCACTTTAAGCCAATTTTTGTTCGAGTACTTAAGTAAGGCGTCCCCCCATTAAAAGTGACTTAAGATGAAGTAATTGCTTGCTTCTGAAATATATTGTGGTAACGACGGGCAACTACGAAACCCTACACTGCGCGTGGCACGACACGCACTTCACTTGGTTAACTGGTTTATTTCTATAGAGTAGAGGGCAGTGCGTTTAATTACACTAAGGGTAGTTTCACAGGACGGCTCCGGAGTAGGGTTGCCAGGCGTCCGACTTCAGCCGGACATGTTTGGCTTTTTAGGGACTTGTCCGGCCTAGGTACCAGTGGCGAGTGATGGAGGCTGTCTAGGCATAGTGACTGCGACATCGGGTAGCATGGTCATTTGCCAACCGGATGACACAAGCATTGACGGGCTACGGGCGTTTTGGGGTTTAGATGCCAGGTAGCATCATTGCAGATATAGTTAATACCGCTCCAGAAGTCCACTTAGGTAAGCAACGACCATTTTCTGCCGGCTGTAGTCCTCGACATGACCAATGGACTTCTTCATCTCCTGCCTTTTTAATAGGCCTCGGACAGTGGCCACCAGCACAATATATCATTCATGCCGCACACTGAAAGCCGAAGGCGTAATGACGTTTTCCTTGTTTGAAACCGAATAGGGACCGTTGACGAATGTTTGAGGCACACGCCGATACTTGGTAATGTCCCGCGTTCACAACTCATATGGTTGTCGCAGTCGGATTGTATAATCCGCCGTTTTACATTACCACTAGGCATTTTACATTACAGCTCTGTTTTGTAATACGGCGGTTCAACGTTTAGGCGGATTGTCATTGCGATATGTTCTTCAATACGGCGGCCCACGTTTAGCCGCATCGTACTTCTATAGATTGTAGGGTGACCATACTTACAAAATAAAACAATGTTTAATGAAAATAAATTTTAATAAGACAGATTTTAAGAATTACTGTATACTAAATAATATATTTAGCTTCAGTATTTTTTTTTACTTATTTATAAATCACAAGGGATAGCCATCATGATCAAAGGGAACAGGTAACTCAAAACAATAAAGTTTTAGTCATTTTTTCTGGGTTATTTTTCTTTAAGATAAAATTATCTTCACCGGCCACTGCCATGATTTCATATTTTTACACTAATAATATTGTGTAGGATTCCGCCGAACACCAGAATCCATAGCCACTTTGTCCGGCAGCGCCACGGTATTGAAAATAGGAACTAAAAACTGACAAAGCGGCGGGTAATGACACGCTGTTTTACATTACGGCTAGCCGTATTGAAGAACGTTTGGCGCCGAATACATTCCGGCGGATTTTCATTCAGCCGTATTCAATCCGGCTAAACGTTAATCCGCCGTATTACAAAACAGAGCTGTAATGCAAAATGCCTAGCTGTAATGTAAAACGGCGGATTATACAATCTGACTGCGACAGTAATTAAACGTTACAATAGGAATAAATACTCAATTTACCAACGTAAACAATATTAAATTGCACATACAATATCAAACGTACGAAAACAAACCACGTTAATAATCGTATGTATTACATACGACAAAAAATAAATTGAATTGACAACGTTTATCATGGTATGTAAAACATACGATACTTTGTTAGCTTAAAAAAGGAACGTAAATAATCGTATGTGTTAATTACTATAGTTTTGAATAGCTAGTAACAAAATATAAGGCAATTTTAAACACCAAAAGGAAAACTGTAATTACTACTTACCTAATAGTATGCGCTCGCTAGCGGTGAACCAAACTGCTTCTCCCATGTAGACGATCGCACAGGACATTACGATAGTATACGTTGCGAGCGTGGATTACATACGATTGAATACGTGTGAAAAATCTTTTATTTTAAATGATATTGCAATTTTTGTTCGCGGGTTCGATAATACGTATTTTAGTAATTATAAAATGCTTATAAAATCAAAATTGATATTTTGTGGCTTACGATTATTTACTTAGGAGGCATCGAGGGTGGAATTTTGTAATGCTACCTAGAGGGAAAGTAAGTACTCATAATACTGTAGATAGAAAATTTTACTGAAAGAAAACATTCCTTTGTTTTTGAAAAGAAAGAGAACTGCATTGAAAGATTTCATGGTTTTCATTTTATTTGATTTATCAAGTTTGTTAGAGAGATTTCATCCTTATACATATGTAACCCTAACGATTGATGCAATAAAAATACAGATTGTAATTTTTAATAGGTTTCAGTTGGTTTGATTATGGGTAATATATTTTAATATATTTTATTAAAATATAAAGAACAGGACTTACTAAAGTACCTACTCGTACCTATATTATTATGACAAATGTTGAGACTAAATGTGATAAGTATTGCCTTCTTACTAATAAATAAAGTTAGTGTTATAGTACTTCATTACACAAAGAAAACTAATAATCTCTAAGAAAAAATCTGGATATGAAAAACCTACACACAGCAAAATTATAACAGTAAGAAAAATAAAAGTATTTACTTAATAATTTATTTGATGCATTTAGCTGCATACCATGCCTGTAAAAGTAAGATTTTATGCACAAGAGCCA